AGAGAACTAGCAACCGAGTCTAACTGACAAGAGTAATAAAGATAATAATACTATGAACACGTTATGATGAAACCAACCAAAATTCAAGAAAAGTTCAGTATACTCTGATGACATATCCAAGCACTGGGTAGAAGTATTGGTAGGAGGTGAGAAAAGCTATTGGAAATAAGACAGAGTTAGAAGTATTCCAGCAGGAAGGACATATTATTGAGAACTTTAATGTTTGAGACAATAATGATAGAGACAAAGAAGCAAGATAGTTTTCCTTATTGCTGTGTATGTGAAACCTAGCACAGGAGGATGACATGAAAGTTTTCTAAACACAAGCTTTCAAACGGTAGTGAGAGAACATGACTGCGAAGGCAATCCATTAACGCTTTCAGAGTTACAATACGCATATAATTTTGAAACAAACTTAATAGATTTTAAAGTCATCTCTGTCGCAAAGAAGTCAGGTTTACCATATTTAATGAAGCAGATTATATTCGTAATTGAAAACTTCAAAGCTATTGCCAGTGGTAGATAATGACGATTGCCCTTAAAGAAAATATTAAATTCAGTTGACTTCAAAAGGATCGTCAAAGAGATGACACTTCGCTGGAATGTTCACATCGACGTTTACAAGTGAAGGTTCAGACAGGATTGTTACAAGATTGTCAATAGGTGGTATTGTCTCGTGGAAATTGTTATAAAAATCCAGTTATACAGTGAATTTGCTGAAGAATCTATATGTATGTCTTGTCCAAACTCTATGTATTCGCCGCCCGAGCATGTATAGATATAAACAACTTTGTCAGCTAAGTTACATTAGATCTGTCGAACCTTCTTCAATGAAAGAATGTTGTCGCTACCTAAAGATGGAAGGATGGACTCATCTTTGAGATGATTTTAATTGCATATTAAACTGAGCTTGTTCATTGAAAGGTCATCACATATGAAATAACTGTTGTATGAAGATTCTTAGCAATTTGTTCAGACTTTGAAGCGTATAGATGATATAAGAAAGAAGTTCAGATAGACCGCAAGCAGCAAGCTGGGATTGAAGGCGAAGCCCGTCGAGAAATGTTTTATGTTTCATTGACTTTCTCCATAAAGAGAACTTTATGAGATAATATTTGAAGAGAGATGATTTTTATTGGTATGTAAAATGGTAGCCAAGTTGGGCAGCTTTTAAGGCGCAAGGCTTACATATTATTAAATGCTTCAGGTTGAAAAACAAAGAACAAATGTAGTAGATACAAAACCGTTTGACTATATCTTTACAAATGCTGGTAGGACAATATCAGATGAAGAGTAAACATTATGAGAAGGTCGACAACTTTGTTGAAAGGTTTTCTCCTTTTGTTTTGAAGTACGAATTCACTCAAGGTCAAAGTGGCTTAGTAACCACATTAAAACCTATTGTCGAACATTGGTCTTACCCTCAGTTCGCAAAGGCAGTCCTTGACAACTACAACAAATTCTTCTCGGAAGTCAAATCCAAAGTGAAGGTTTACTATGAGAACATCGATGCACTCATGACGAACGAAGAAGCTATAACAAACTCATTGAAATGGGCATGGTCGGTGAAAAGATGGGTCAATTCAAATTGGACAAATTTTCACCGAAGTTCATGTAATATCGAAAAGGAAATATTGGGGCATACTTGAAGACGGCACAGAAATAAAACATTGCATGAAATAAAAAATTTTTATTCGAATTTGAATTTAAATGTGGGAATTCTTGGTCTCAAACTCATATATAACCTGTTGTTTTGTATTTTCGTCGACTATGGCACGAGACACAAACATTGACCAAACGGACAAAAAGTGTCATTTCAGATGGTCACGCAGCATCGCATTCGAGCACTTCGAAGAAGCCTTACGTTCCAAGGGAGAGGGTGTCTGTGCGAAGGAGAGGGTCATGAGACTCTACGAGCAGTACATCCTCAATGCCTGGAGGACAAATCGTCCTTGGATTGCAAATCTACCAACTCCTCTGGACGACCTCCTACGCAACTGGAGAACGAAAGAGTCCAATTCAAAGGTCGGGAACTAATTTTGCAAATTGACCTTAATTTCACATACTTATCCAAATAAACACCTAAATTTACTTGGGGTTTCCCCCTAAAATAAAATTTTTTTACTCTTAGAACCACTCGAGGTTCTCCTTACGGTTGTTGAGCTTGTCACCGTCAATGTGTCTGACCTTCGTCCTCTTGTTTGGATTTGAACCCATTGAATTGCGACAAGCTTGCCCATGGAGATTGAACCGTATTCCGAAGGGTAAGGTTCAAGTGTCCCAAGTTGTTGAGAACTGGGGTAAGAACCTTGCCGGTCTCCTTGTTGCGGATTTGGTATGGGTAGGGTTGGGAAATTTCGTAAGTGTCATCGGCAACAGGGTTGCCCAAACTTCCTCTTCTTCGGTGTTTCTCTTCTTCCTCTTCTTCCTCTTCCTCTTCTTTCGTGTTTCTCTTCTTCCTCGCAATTCCTTCGGCAATTCTGTGTTCACGAAGTACGGTGTTGGAGGTTTCTGTCCTTTCCGAGTCCTTCCAGATGGCATCTATCTCTTCAAGAAACGGTAGATGAGTCTGGCAAGGTCTCGGTTCTCTCTCGCGTAAAATGGGCAAGGTTTCCGTCAAATCGTTCAGGACTTTCTCATTGGAAGCTTGGTTCATGAGGAACTCACCTTTTAAGTCCTTCATCTCTTCCATAAGACTACTTTGGAGAGTCTTAACGGTGTTTGTCAGATGAGCTTTCAATTCAAAATTTGAATTTGAACCTGGGCGCTTGTCTGGCAACATTGAAAGGACATCTGCCATTGTGTTCGGCTTCGGTGCTTGTTCGGACATCGAAAAAATGAAGTGGTTTGAGAATGACGGTTTTACTTCAAAAAGCTTGTTTATGACGGTTTAAGTCATACAACATTTAAAATAATATCTTGTTTTTTCTTCTGAACGTTGTTGTCTCTTCGATAAAAGTTTCGAACATGAGAACCAAAAACGTTTTTTGAGAAGCGGGAAGGTTCCGGCAAACGTTCATATTCTATCTCTTAATGGTTTGATAGGAAATTGTTCACTGTTTGGTCTGCCCCTAACTACTGCTACCGTGGTGGCAATCCTGCATCAATTTTAGAAGTATCTACGGATTTGACTACTAGATGGAAGATGTTTGAAGCCGCTCCACCTGAAGCTCGTGGTGAATTCCCAGACAGAACTATGGTAGAATATTTCATGTGATTGTTGAAAATGATTCGAAAATACATAAACTTTCCCTTCATTTTTTTTATTACTAAATACCAGGCAATACATATTTTTTTTTATAATTCAATTATGACCTTATCATTCTTAATCTATATAATAGTTGTAGTCCCCTCAATGAAATAAAGTATTTTTTATAATCATTTCGTCGTATTTGTTGTAATTGTGTTTCAAAAAAAATCTTAGCAAGTATTTTGGACTAGTCCAATATTGTTTTTATATTCTTTACATTTTTGTAATGATAATATTTATGGAATAATGATAAGGGTAGCAATCATAATGTTAGCTACCAAAAGGCGGGATACAGCCAATACAACATATATTAAATTTATGCTATCCAAGAACAATAGGAACAGATGCAAAACAAATATTCTTTACGAAAGGATCTTGCATTCTCATTCGTACGATTGATTTTATCAAGAGGAACTGTAATTACGGTATACATTGCATGATTAATTCATTTGGCCTCTGTTGTTTTGTTCTCTGAAAGGGCGAATAATCTTTCTCAAATTGTTGGTTGATTATAAAATTTTGGATGATCTACATGATCTCGCCCAACTACGTGGCGTATAGTTTGACACCTATCATGAGATTATGAAATATTCAGTGAATAATTAATGGGTTGTAAGGACTATAGAAAGAAATAATATTCGTGCGGATTGTTGGAATACTATAGAGCAATTACAAACGTTACATCAATCATATTATCCGACCACTTTTGACAAAATCATCTTAATCATTTTTGAAGTACAAAAGAAGTGATAAATTATTAAATAACTAGGGGAGGGTAGTACTTAAAATTTTCAGTTCCAAAAAAATTTTTGTTTATATTATCGTTTTTGAGAACTTTGGAAATTTGAGAAAAACGATAAAACTATAACTTCATTTCTCTTTATGGAAGCAGATAACCTTGCTGTTAACACAATCCGTTGCCTTGCTGCTGATATTGTCAGCAAAGCCAACTCTGGCCACCCAGGCGCTCCACTTGGTCTTGCTCCAGCAGCCCACGTCCTTTGGTCTAAATTCTACAGTTACGAAAAGGACTGGATCAACCGTGATCGTTTCGTTCTTGGCCCAGGTCATGCCTCTGCCCTTATGTATTCCTTACTCCACCTTTACCAACGCGAACTCACAATAGACGATCTTAAGCAATTCCGTCAGTTACATGCCAAGTGCGCTGGCCACCCAGAGCACTACCTCATCCATGATGTTGAGGCAACAACTGGCCCACTTGGACAGGGTATTGGTTATGCTATCGGTATGGCTGCACTTGAACTTAACCTTGCTGCTCGCTTCAACAAGCCAGACTTCCCAGTCTTCAACCACAAGGTCTTCGCCTTCGTTTCGGATGGTGAAATGATGGAAGGTGTCCAGGCTGAAACAGCCTCATGGGCAGGCCACCAGAAGCTCGATAATCTTATCGTTCTTTATGATGACAACCACATCACAATTGATGGCAACACAAACCTTGCCTTCACAGAAGATGTTCTTGCCCGCTACCGTGCTTACGGCTGGCACACACTCGTTGTCGAGAATGCCGACAAGGACCTCGAAGCCATCGAGAAGGCCATCAACCAGGCCCTCGAGCTCAAGGGTGCTCCAGTCCTTATCGATCTTAAGACAACAATCGGCTTCGGTTCCGAAGTTGCCAACACACCAAAGGTCCACGGCACACCACTCAACAAGGATCAGCTCGCCGCCCTCAAGAAGTTCTTCGGCTTCAACCCAGAAGAATCCTTCGTTGTCCCAGAACAGGTCTACAAGCTCTACGACGGCGTTCGTGAGAAGGCCCACCAGAAGGCTGAAGCATGGCGTGCCATGTTCGCTGACTACGCCAAGAAGTACCCAGAAGAGTACGCTCAGCTCGACCAGATCTTACATCCAAACTTCACAGTCGAGGAGTTCAAGAAGTTCATGCCACTCACCGACGAGAAGAATGTTGCTACACGTGTTGCTTCTGGTGTTATGCTCAACGCTATCCTTCCACACTTACCAGGCCTTATCGGTGGCTCTGCTGACCTTACACCATCCAACAACACAGCTCTTACAGGCCAGAAGTCCTTCCAGCCAGACTGCCGCGAGGGCCGCTACCTCGAGTTCGGTATCCGTGAGCACGGTATGATCGGCATCGCCAACGGTATGCAGTTCTACGGCTTACCAGGCCTTGTCCCATTCGTCGCCACATTCTTCACATTCATCCAGTACGGCCTCGGCGCTCTCCGTGTCGCTGCTCTCGACAAGCTCCGTATGCTCCTCATCATGACACACGATTCCATCGGTCTCGGTGAAGATGGTCCAACACACCAGAACGTTGAGAACTTCGCCATGATCCGCGCTCTTCCAAACACACTCCTCCTCCGCCCAGCCGATATCCTCGAGACATCCGCCTGCTACACAGCTGCCCTCACAGGCCCAGCTCGTCCAGCAGTCTTCGCCCTCTCCCGCCAGAACGCTCCTCCAGTTCCAGGCGTTAACTTCGATGGCGCTCTCAAGGGTGGCTACATCGTCAAGGATGTTCAGGATCCAAAGCTTATCTTCGTTGCTACAGGCACAGAGCTCAAGCTCGCTTACGATGCTGCTGAGAAGCTTGGCCTTCCAGTCCGTGTCGTCTCAATGCCATGCACAGAGATCTTCGAGGAACAGTCCGAGGAGTACAAGAAGTCCGTCCTTCCAGGCAACGTCCCAACAATTTCCATCGAAGCCGGCATCCACCAGGGCTGGGAGAAGTACTCTCATGTCCACTTCGGTGTCGAGACATTCGGCCTTTCTGCTCCAGCAGGCAAGGTTTACGACTTCTTCGGCTTAACACCAGAAAAGGTTGCTGAGCGCGCTCAGAAGGTCCTTGATTATTACTCAAAGACCCCAGTCCCAGATCTCTCCGCTAGACCACAGTTCTAAAATTAAGTGAGATTCTTGACGTTTATTAATCAAATTAACTACCTTCTTTTATATTGCTCTCGGCCACCTATAATATTATAAATATATACTTTGAATTTTAAATTTAATTTTTATTTACTAACCTTTTTTATTGAAATTTTATTATCAATATATTCTTTGTCTATTATCCTATTGTTTTATCGATTTAATTTCTCCGAAAACCTCCAAATTTTTTTGAAAATTGAAAAAATGAAGATAATTTTTTCATTTTTTATTGTCATTTTTCAGATTTCATAAAATTTTTGGAAATTTTAAACTTTATATTCATATGCAGATAAGGGCACAAATCATAATTTTAATCAAAAATCACAAAAATAGTTTTCTCCACTCAAAAGATCGTAAAAAATTTGAATTCATTGAACGGATAAAGAAATTACAAAGGTACATTCACTAGGCGATAACAGTAAAATGGGATGAAAATAGGATAAATAGCATCCCTATATAGTGCCTAACAATATTTATACGGACCAAAAAAATTTGGCTAGAGATTTGGCGAGTTATAAAACTTAGAAAATTGAGAGGGATTTTTATTTTTGAATTTTTTTGGAAAGTTAAAATTGCGATTAAAAATTGATTTCCGGGAGAACTAAGCATCTCATCATATATTTAAATCGATAAAAATATTAAATAATAGTTGAATAGTATAACTACGTGAAATTATGGCTGAATATACAGAAAAAATGAACATATTTGACATTTTTGAAAATTCATACGTTAGATGGTGACAGACTCATAAACTATACTTTAGCTAAGATTGATATATGGTTTCAACAACACATGGTTAAAATCGTAAAAATATTTTAGATTTCAAAAAGATATATATGGTAATATAATGGAACAAAGTCAACAAATAGCATGTAAAATATGTTATAATTAACTTTTTATTAGATCCAATAGTAGATATCGAATGGTTTCCAGCTTTATGGTTAATTATTTTCTTTTCGAGCTTCTCTTTAACTGTTGTATTAAGGTTGTAAATTTTTGATGCCAGAAACTATTGAATCTTCTTTGCTGCTGCATTTTTCTTGAGAGTTCTTGCAATTTCGAATAGATCTGCGCATTGTATGAAATGGAGGCTTTAAAATATCTTGAAAACAGAATAGGACTGCTTTTCCAAAGGAATGCTTACTTGTAAATCAAAGAGTTTCAAAATTGACAGCAAGATTATCATCATAACTTTCGATTTTGCTGCGAAAAAGGAAGACAAGTAATTAACAAATCATTTACTGTTGTTCATCAAAAGAAGAAAACTTTGATAACAACTAATGATGATAAAATCAAGCTATCTTTTAATATTTTAAATTGATAAGACATTCAAAATATTTGAATGGTTTAAAATATTTTCTTTTAATTTCTATAAGATATTATCATGATTATATAATAAAATTTAAATTTTTATTCAAAAAGGCAATATTTCAAACTTTTAATTTCAAAAATCTTAATTCTGCAATAAGTGTATTTAATTGTAGCAAATTTAATGATCCTTCGTCATGCTTAGCAATTTGGAACTCATAAATTAATGATTTCTTCAAGTAAAATTCTGCATTATTTCAAAAGTCAATAATTCTCTAGTAACTTTTCTTCAAACCCTAACCATTATATTATATGTATAATGGAGAATAATTGCAAAGAAAGATAGCCGAATTTACTGGGTAGTTCTTGTGATGCGAAATAATTGCAAATTAACACCTAGTTTTAACAGCATCAATCTCTTTTTGCTCTCATCTAAATGCATTCGCACACTTTAATTTTGAAATATAAGAGTTTTGGAAATTATCAAATTTATCTGCTCAAATACTATAGATCTTCATAAGTGTTAATAGAATCATTAGCCTTACATATAGTGTTTAATATAATGATGCACATTATACTGGGATTCATTCCTTATTCATCTAGTTATTATAAGATTTACAACCCCATGAAAATTTAAAATTTTGTCAAAAATAGTGAATGTACCTTTGAAATTACCCATCTAATTCTTCTTTTGTTCATTTTATCCATCAGATTTTCTTTCAAAGTCAAACTGATGTAAGATGTGTAACGCAAATTGTTTACACAGAAAATGAGCGATAACATTCTCAAGGATCTCCTTGCCATCACATCACAAGACAAGTTCCTAAATGAGAAGCTCCAACAGATTTCAAATGATTTCCCAGACTATATTGAGAATAATTCTCTTTACAATTTGCCGATCAAATATTTAGTCGAGATTGTAAAGGATGCGCAGCCAATTACAACAGAAAAAGCTAAAACATTCATGCAGAAATCCGAAGAAGCATACAATTCCGAAAATGTTCTTCTTTTGAAAGAATTAAAGATTTCCGATGCCAAAACTAACGATTATCTCGAACTCATGGAGTATGTTCCAGATAGTCCATTCTTTGAAGCAGTTTCAGGCAAGTTACAGCAGAAGAAGATCAAAACTCGCTCTTTGAAAGAAAAAATCTTTGACTTCGAGAACGAGAAGGTACAAGCAATTCCAAAGGCCGCTAAAATTGATGTCAGTGCCAACTCATTACCAGTACAGCCATCACATGATTCCTCAGACATAATTCAAGCAGTTTTCAGAGGCGATCTGAAGACAGTTGAGAACTTAATAAACGATGATCCAGCACTCATCGAGAAGACAGAATCCGATGGCGCCACTCCTCTCTACTTTGCGGCTCAAGAAGGTTATCTTGATATCGTAAAACTCCTTGTCCGCAAGAAAGCAAACATCGAAGCTCACACAGCAAGGGGAGCTACACCAATCTACATCGCTTCCCAGAAAGGACATGCAGAAGTTGTTGAATTTCTCGCAGAATCAAACGCAAACATCGAAGCAGTTACGAAAGACGGATCAACACCACTCTACATAGCTTGCCAGAATGGCAATACATCTACTGTACGTTCCCTCATCGCTCACGGAGCTAATACAGAATGCAAATTTGGAGCTGGAGCCACTCCATTGTACATTGCTGCCCAGAATGGTCGTAATGAAGTTGTCTCCATTCTCTCCGAGAAGGCAAATATCGAGGCTTCCCTTTCCAATGGCTCAACTCCACTTTCAATCGCCTGCCAGAACGGACATGTCCAAGTTGCTAAGAAGTTAATAGACAGAGGTGCCGATGTAAATGCTATTACAAAGAACGGAGCCACTCCTCTTTACCTCGCATGTCAAAATGGACATCGCGATGTCGTCAGTTTGTTGTTAGATAACCACGCTGATGTTGAAAAAGATCCGAAATCACTGTTCATCGCTTCTTACAGAGGTTATTCCGATATCGTTGAAATGCTAGTTCAATCAGGTGCCAAATTAGATGAAGTTTGCACCGATGGAGCAACACCGTTATACGTTTCCGCTCAAAACGGTTATATCAATATCGTTAAAATCCTTGTTGAAGGCGGCGCTGACACAGAGAAGAAGTTCAAGAGTGGTGCAACACCTCTTTTAGTTGCATCTCAAAATGGCTTCATGGATATTGTTGTCTTCCTCGTGGAGAAGAAGGCAAACATCAACGCTACAACAGAAAGTGGAATCTCTGTAAGAAAGATTGGAAAGACAAAGGAAATAAGAGAATACTTGAGATCAAAGGGTGCAACAAAATAATTTTTATTTAAAGATGCTATTTTTATTTTTTTGGAAGTGAGTTAACCAATCATAGTTTTTTAAAGAAGTAAATAAACATTATTTATAAAAACAAAAAATTATATCAAAAATTACAATTTTTGGTAAGTGTTCATAAACGAAATTCCTAGTATTGTACTAAGCGAGATCAAATCTAATTGTACTTTTTGTTTTTGAAAAGAATTGTATCAAAAATATTTGGAAATATTCATCAAATTGGAAACATTTGCATTATTTCCTTATTAATTTTTTCGTAAAAATGCCAATCACTAATATCTAACTTTCATAAACTTAGTATTACCAATCATTGAGATTAATTTCGACGCCAATTGTCACGAAAAATCTTAAAATGTTAGTAACAAGTTCGGGTTCGTATTTTACATTTTGATTTTCTTCTGTTTCTTGCTGTGCTTTTGATCCAAGATAAACTCTACGAATCATATCTGAAAAACGCTGGGTTGTTGAAACATACTCGTAATCATGGAGAGTGTCGACTTCATTGTAGTGATTTAGTATGTAATTTAAATCATTAAAAATTTCTTTGGCGTATTTTTCCTTAATAACATCTTTAAGGTAAGATTTTTCTAGCATTTCGGAAATCTTTTCATAAATCCTCATACTGCGACTCTCTAAATCCTCTGTTGACATTGAATTTTTTTGTCACTTTTAGAAAAACTATGAATAAAGTTCTAATCAAAGCCAAATTCACAAATCAATAGCATTTGTATCAGCAAAGATTTATGATTTTAAGTTTTGTTCATCATTTTTTTCAAAGTTAGAGTTTGATGGATCTTGAAAATCGGCCAGTATTCGATTTCCATCGTTTCTCTATAATGTTTGAACACAATGACATTAGTGACAACACAAATAACCAACAATCTACAGACGACACTCTCAGATTTCAAACAATTATTATTGGATTTCAAAGAGAGATTCAAAAACTAACAGATACTTCGAAAATAGAGCAACTACATATAGTAGTTGGCAAACTGTACAGTTATTTATCAAGTTTAGAATCAATTCCTTTTTCCAAGAAAATCATTGAGATAGACTTTGCCAATACACTTATAACATTGTTTGATCAGTATGAAGCTTCGAGAGTGCTAGTATCTTGCATTTTTACAGCTTTTTCATCCAATAAAGAATATATTGATCGATTTTTTGAGAGTTTTGACCCATTAAACTATATTTATTACGAAAATTGTCCAGACTTTATTACAATTAATGCTATAATTTATGCAACAAAGATGATTCAATTTAATTTGATTAATAAGATAGAAAATAATGATTTTTTCCAGTTATTACTGAACTATTGCTTGAATATTACTGATCCTCAGAATGTCAATATAGTTTATCAATTCATTTATAATTGTTGCAACAAAATAGCATCTGTTGAATTTTTAGGGCAATATGTTGATGTTTTTATTAACATTATAACATATATATTGAGCACATTCGAAAATTATGATGATTTATGTGTTTGTTCATTGATATTTCTAGTATTAAACCAAAAATGCAAATTCAATGATTTTACACCAGAATTAGTTCAACATATTAAAGTAATGGAAATGAAGAATCCATACTACGGATTATGGCTGATTTCATTTTTAATTCAATCAGATGAGAGAGCTTTGCAAACATTTGTTGAAGATATGTTTATCATTGGCCAAGTATTTGATGCTCACCTCGAAGAGCCTTTAATTGCAAAAGATTGCCGATGTTCAATTATTTTTTATATTAGTACACTATTATCACAAAATCAGCATATACAAGATATTAAAAAGTACGCACAGTTTATTGTTTCACATTATGAAAACATGAACACTCAGTTTAAAGTTGTTTCAATTTATTTTGTAACAACAATGTTGTCTAGATGCCAATTTTCAGAGTTACAAGAATTAGATTTTGATCAACTATTTGAGATTCTTTCTGAAATTATAATTCTCCAAAATTATTTGAAATTTAAATCTTCAGATTTTGAATTGATTATAAAACAAATAAAAGCCAACACTGCAGGATGGCCAATCAATATAAATGATTTACTCGAGAATAATGACATAATTTCTCAACTTGAATGCTTATCTGATGATGAATCATAATCTTTACCTTTTCATTAATTTATCTATGTGCCTTATGATAAGGATAATATATAGGTCATATCAATTTAACTTATTTATATTCCTTATTCATTATAGTCCTTGTTTGTATTTTATTTGATAAAATTTCATGTATTTCTTTAAAAAATCATTAAGAATTTCATATTCAATATAATGCCAATGTATGTGTTACACTTCAGTATCTAAAAAATATATGCTTTTCGATTCTATATTAACATTGTTGTTACTAGATAATCAGTGAGAATATCTAGTCTTTGATTCAAATTGCCATCACATATAGCCATATGTATCATCATAAAATCAATCTATTGACATAATCTTTTAAATTTTCTTCTTATTCATTTTATTTGGTTAAAAATTCATTTAAAACAAGAAATTTCACTTTATTCTACTAATAATTCCACTTAGAAAATTCGGAAACAATCATACAATAGGATTTGAAATTGTCAAAATATCATTATCCGGCGTTTTTCCAAAATTATTAAAAAATACAATGATCCAGATGATTAATTGCAATGAAGTTACCATTTCAATTTCGAGTTCTTTTCAATAGAAAAGAACCTTTTTGGGAAGTTAGAATGAGAATCATGTATGCACTGCAAAAATCAAGTTAATTAAGCGTCAAATTCAATTAAGGGGATGAGATTTATTATTCTTTCCGACTCTTCGCAAATTTTGAATGATTTTATATCGAGTAACGGAATAAAAAGAAATTAAAATAACACAGAAAGTGAATTTTACAATGTTAAAATATTTATTTTGGTAATAATATCAGATTTGGAATGGTTACATTATACTGTGAAAATAGAGCTATTCAATTTTGTGAATTTTACACAAATGCTTCGGAGGCAGTATTCAAAGAAGCAGACTTCACTAAGCCTTTTCAAATCTAATCCTCCAGCAGTTCGTAGAATCACAGGACAATTTGAAATACCACCTCCACAATTGCCCTCAAATCAAGAAGAAGAAAATACGAATAAAATTGAAGAAAATCACTTAAGTCTATATGATTCTCCTATTGCAGACATAAAAGTTCCACAAACTAGCCTTCTTAAGATGGATGTATTTAGGAATCTGGCGCCAGTAGAATTAGTTGATATTCCTACTCTTCCTCAAATTGAATCATCATCATTTCAAGGTATATTTGAGAAGAAGATTGAAGCATGCTGCCAAATATGCCCTTTTGCAGATGAAGAACTTGAGCGTGTTTCAATTGAAAGAAAAACAACACATTTGACCAAATTATATCGACTTTTCTTAGGTGCCATACCTCAGTCAACCAAATTAACTGATAAAAACTACGAGTTACTTTACGGAATGGTTATGAGAAATATTGTGAGAAGATTACCAACAATTGATCCATTGGCTCTAGAAAATTATGATGTATCTCCATTTACTGAACCTTCCTGGCCCCATCTCAGCATCGCATACTCAATTCTTGGGAAAATTTTGGCCGAATTTCCAAACGCACCATTTTTTGATTTTAAAACACTCTCGAACATACTTTTGGTAGCAGGATCCGCTGATGGTCGTGAGAGGCAGCAAATCGTGATTTTTATTTCCAGATTTATTTCTTTGAATCAACAGTTCAATGATCCTTTGATTCAGAAATTCGCATCGATCATTGAGAATTATTTGGATTCCATGCATAATCCCTTTATAATTCTTACGATTTTGACCACATTTGTAGCAATAATCAGAGATCTAGGCGAAATACCTCCTCTTTTTAGCAGATTCTTCAGACATTTCATTGTTCGTCTGCTAAGTGATATACATTTACCATTTTACGACCAAATTATGTGTACAATCATTGATTTATACATTGAAGACGATTCCAGGAACTCTATATGCGTTGTTCATCAAGTATTACGACATTGGCCGTATACGAAGCTTGCAAAACAGTCGATATTTTTGTATTTGATCATTAAATGCTTCCCGAAATTACCAAACAAGGAAATCCAACCAAATCTTACGAGAATTCTCAATATCCTTGCTACATCAACAGATTCCGAATGCTACAGAGTTGCAGAAGCAGCGTTTCAGATGTGGACAACGCATGGATTCGATCGGATCATAAATGAAAACATTAAATTGATAAATCATATCTTCGCCGTTCATGTTTTCAATGCCCGTGAAAATCATTGGTCTCCGACGGTTAGAAATAACGCAAATTTCGTTTTATCAATTTTAATGAAAAAAGATCCGAAATTTGGAAACAACTTTAATCAGGAATCAACAATAGATGATGCTGATTGCAAGAAACTACGATTTTGGGTTTACATTGCTCGAGAAGCTTCAAAAGTCGATCAATCGTTTGATCTCTCCAAAAAACTCACAGAAATTACCAACGTTTGCACTCCAAGACAGATACAATCACGTGGATCAAACGCTTACATTAAAAGACCAGTCAGACAAAGAGCAAATTCTTGTTGTGTTTCACAGCCAAGTTCTGCTCCTTCTAGGATTGCTAGACCATTCGGTGCTCATTAGATCTTATGTTATTTACCATTAATTGTTTTATATATGTATTTATTGTTTCATTTTGTTTTTTTTTATCAAAAAATAAACTATCTTTCATCTCATGCAATAACTATACATTACTTATTACATTTCTTTTCTTTTTTACTAGATATTTTCATCTCTTTCTAAAAATATCTAATAAATATTTTATTAGAATTCCATTTCTTCTCATTCCAAGCAGTATTTTGTATTGTCCTCTTTCTGTTCATATAATCCAATGTTTCCAAACAATCATAATCGATTATTTATGAATTTGAAATTAAAAACTGTTATATTTTAAGAGCGATTTATTATGTGTGAAGTCTCACAAGGTCACATATATATCATATCATGACTATTATCAATCCATATCGTAAGTTGATTTCATATTCGTCAATCGTTTGAACAATTTTCACATACTAATTCATGAAATTATTTCCTCTCATAGTAAAATCTAAATCCATTGATCAAACTAATATAAAATGAGTTGGAGAACAATAGGAAATTGTAAGATTAAAAAAAAAATCGAAATCTGATCCCAGAACCTAGACAGGGATTAATTCGTAATGAAGAATAATCAAAATAAGAATACGTAATCTATTAAAATCTTTTAAGCAAATAAATAATTAATTAAATCTTACTTCCTTCTTGAGAAGAAAAGGAAAGCTGCAGCAGAAGCAGCAAGAACAGCAGTTCCAGCGATGACATATGTCGAAATATTAGATGAAACCAGTTTCTTTCTGATTACAGGGTTTTGCTTCATGATTTGATCACTATATTTGATGCAAACTTCACGAATTAATTCAGCGCGCTTAGCATCATCTTTCTCACCCCGAGCACGTAGAAGTTCATTAAGGAAATTATCCATGATTGCGTTAACTTCTGCTAAATTCTTAATTTGGAGTTTAGTAGCAATTGCGACAATGCAGGAAAGAGCTTCTGAGAAATCTTCGATAAAAGTTTCATCGAAATTATCGTTAGTGTAGCAAGATCTGATAACAAGTTCATAGCAGTCAAATGCTTCAGCTAATTGACCGGCCTTGTAGTACTTCTTTGCATCATTAAGAGGAATTTGGAGTCCCTGATACATCGAAAAATTTGAGAATTAATTCAAAAAAGTAACTATCATTTCACTTCGTCACGATACCATTTTTCCTCGTAAATATCATTAAGAATGTAATCAAAAATAATTTTGCTTCAATTACTATAAATTTGAAGATAAATTTCAAAAGTTTGACATCATAAAAAATTGGATTAATAATTCCGAACCTGTATAGTATGTAGATTACAAATATTAAGTTAAAATCATACAATAGAACTATCGTCATCTAAAATTTTTGATCGTTTCATTACATTTTATGTCAAATAAAATAATTACATTTTACATGTCAAAAAATTTCGAAATAAATGGAAGAAGAAAATCAAACAATAATTCCTCAAGGAAAAATACATTTTGATGAAATGAGCGACACTCTTATTTCTTCCATTATAGAGAAGCTTCCTTTATCATCTGTTGCGCTTTTAAGCACGACCAGCAAAAGAATGCATAGATTATGCCATGCTCCTCAAAATTGGAGTGATATAGAGTTAAATGATTCATCTCAACTTATTACTCCATACAATATTGCTGTATTGTGCGCTAAAGGTTCAGAAATTCGTCATCTTTCAATCGATTTACACTCAAAGAATGTTTCATTGGGATCATTAAGATTATTATCAATATCATGCCCATCAGTCATATCTCTTTCTCTATATTATACAAGCGAATATTCAATGGGTACAAATGTTTTTCCAATAAATGAACTAATTTCATTTCTGACCAACTCAAAATCAGTCAGATCATTACGATTTACAGATTCTACGATGATTGACGATAGTCATCTTGTTCAAGTTCTTCCTCATCTTCAAATGATGAGAGAAATTGACTTGTCAGGATGCATAACATTATCAGATTCCACTTTAATTAAACTCGCACAACAATGCCCATCACTTCAATTACTAGATATCAGCAGATTACCAATCACAGGAAGATGTATTGAACAAATTTTCAGATATTGTGGCGGCATCAAGATACTTCGCGCTAATAATTGTTCGTCATTCCAAACAGACTCATTTTTACCAGTTTCTCCCGAATCTCTTAAAGGATTAACAGAACTCTCAGTTATTGGAACTCCAGTTTCATTAGAATCCACATTACAGCACTGTACAAATCTCAGAAGTCTTCTTGCATCGCTCAGTCTTCATGATTCAATATTAATTCCATTTTTATATGCAAATAAGAGACTCGAAGTTCTTCATATGGGCAGTGGATGCAGAGTTACTATTTCTTCATTGATTGTTGCAATCCAATCATGCGGTCAACACTTGATTTCGTTGACTTTTCATCCATTTGATACGTTTGCAGTTCCAAGTGACGAAATCATGAGATTGATTTGCCAATCATGTCCTCATTTGAAGAACTTAAGTTTTGCACACTCAGAAGAGATCTCAACTTACTGGGTCATGGAAGTTCTCAAAAGATTGAGTTTGGAAAGTTTGGCACTTTTTGGATGGAAAAACGGTAATTCTTCTGCATTGAGATTGATCGCACCACATATTGGAACACTGAAAATGCTTTGCATTTCGGAGTGCTCTAAACTAACAATTCCTGGTGTTATTAATTTCATTTTAACATCAAAGACACTCAAAGTTCTTAAACTTGAGGAAACAGGAGTTAATTTACCTTCAGGAAACATCAATCCTGATGTTTTGGCAGGAATTAAAGACCAATTCCCAATAGCAAAGGAGTCTTCACCAGGAATTCTCTTCCTTCAATAATATATTTTCTATTTTTTTTGTTTGAATAAATCTATATATTTAATATTAAATTTCAATGTGTACTATAGTGTCTTTAAAGGAAATATTTTTATAATAATATCTTTTATTCATGATTACCAAATTATGAGCACAATTCACATTCCACGGCACCATTTTGTACTAAGAATTCAACAATTTCACTCAAGCATAGTCTTTTTGCAATACTAAGAGGGCTTTCATATATATTAAATTTCAATGTGTGCTTCTCTCTCGTTTCAAAATAGTTTCTATAGTGTCTTTAAAGGGTGCCCTATAGACAATGGATCACCCTCAGAAAAGCAGTTTTAATGCTATTATATAGATTATCTAGAATCAGTATAATCCATACATTCGATCTATAATAAGGTTATTTTTGCGATGTTTACATTATTGTTATAGGGTACCCTTTAAGGAAATCGTTTAAAATATATCTTCCTCGGCACCATTTTCTTCTAAGAATTCAACAATTTCACTCAAACATAGTTTTTTTGCAATATTAAGAGGAGTATCATATATATTAAATGAATCCAATAAAATAATGGCAAATATGAAAATTAGGAGAATTAGATAAATAAATGATAAATATTTGAGGGAGAAGAATATCAGGAACAAATAATTGATATGAAACTAAAAAGAATGTCCTAAAACAATGATTGATATTTAATTAAAGAGAATTTTTTTAAATAAATGATTGATTTGAAAATAACGTATCAAAATAGTATCTAAAGAAAAGATTGGAAGAAAAAATTTGGGAAAAATGAGAATTGATTTAATCATCAGTGATGGTTTTTCCAAATAACAAATTCCCCCCTGAGGTAAAGATTTGATGCAATTCACTCTTACGGTCTTTATGGTTAATTTTCAATGATGCTTCATGCTAATCGTCAGAATTGAAGTCAGATGGGCGCATGATTAAATTTTCATTTTTATGATTCAGCCTTAAGATAACTCAAAAATATATGGTAATATAATAAAACAAAGAAACTTTGGAATATCTTCATTATTATCGATGATATATGTTCGTTCTGGTAATATCTTTGGATTATATTCACCTATACCGATAGAATACGAATATGATTTCGATTCATGAGGTGCAATTAATCGATTTTGCCATGAAAAGAAAATCCAAGCACCAACTTTAACATATGGATATTCAGTGCAATTATTCCAATCCCCATATCCAGGACAATTATAATATGAATATGTATCAACATTCGTGACAAAAGGGAAATCTCGAAGAAGAAATCGAACGGTTCTATCATTTATGAATTCAGCACCACAATTTCTTTCAATATTTCGTTGAGGGCACATGTCACCATCGTTTTTGCTTCCTTCGATGGCGATATCTGAAAAGCACCGATGATCTACAACATGAGATATTTTCCCTTTGTTTGTAACTGTATGGATGATGTTAATGTAATTAACATCTGGAAACAACTTGTAGGATACCGAAATGGAAACATCACCATTTGTGACTGTTCCTGACTCGCCAATAATTTCACTATTATTATCAACTCGCAGATATAATTGAATTCCACGATCAAGCCATGATATCTTAAAATTTTTATGACGAACTAGGTAAGTACCTCCATAATCACCAGTTGTTGGTGTTGTTGAATAGATCCATTCATTTTTCATAATATTTTTTCATATATAATGAATGGAGAATAAAAAAATATAACATGGAAAATTAAAAGTGACAAAAAATCATTTATAAGAGTTCTTGAAGACAAGTAGTAGATGAGTGCGGGTTATGTGACTTTTTTTGTTACATCTATATATAGACGATGCATTAAAATATATTTATTTATAAACACATTAATTTTTAACATTAATTTTAAAATAATTTATTTTTTATCTTTTATAAAAGAAGCTATATATAGATGATGTCAGATATTCCGCGATTAATTAAACATTGTTTAAATCCTGAATGGGTTAAACTTCAATTTAAAAATGAAGATTGTGAATTATTAAATGAATATGAAAGCCAAAATAAGCTAATGAGGTATAAATATAATGATAAAGAATATTTAATTTCATGGAATCAATGGAGTCATAATCAAAGACCTCATAAACGAGAAGAAGAAATTGAAAATAATGAAATGGAAATCATTGATGACATTAAAGAGGATGGAATTCCTAAATTTTGTAGAAAACCTTTAGAACTAAGTTAGGAGCATATAAACGTAGAGTATTAAATCCTGAATATCTTAAACATCAATTTAAAAAGAAGGAGACTGTGAATTATTAAACGCTAATGAATATGAAAATGCTAAATCAAAACTGAGATAAAATATATTGGAAGTGATGAAAGGTGTAAAGATAAAGATAAAGTTTATACAGTTTCATATAATAACTGGCACACGTTAGGGATAAGAAAACATTTAGGAGATTATGGTAAAAGTTCTGAATTCTTTAAATCTAGTATGTACGAGAGAGTAAAAGAAATTAGAAATAATTATTTTCATGAGTAAAAGATTCACTACCATAATGAAATAAAAAAATAAACTTTAAAAATTCATGTCTTACATTTTTGAATAATTTATTTTTTTAATTCGTAAGAAAATGAGTGTCAAAACTAACGATGTTAAAAAATTAGGATTCACAAACGAGGAAATAAAGGATATATTAGAGGAGGCAGGTTATGAAGTTAATAAATATTATTTAAGAAATTGTCAAAAATTCGCGGAGTTATTAAATGAATTTGATTATGATGGAAAAATGAATAAAGATGATGTTATAAATTTCTTATATCCTACATCTGAAGAAGAAAAACCTAAAGAACCTGATGTTTTCCCTGAATATTATGAAGAACGAATTAAAGATGATGAATATGATGAAATTGAAATTGAAAGACTGAAAAAAATAAGAGATGAAATAAATGAAAAAATTAAGGAATTAAGAGAAGTTGAAAAATATAATGAGAATGAAGTAGAGGGTTTAATGAATATCCCAGCTTCAGAATCAGAAGTTCAAAAATCACATGAGGAAAGATATAAAAATTACTTTTTGGAATCAACTAAAAATTTATTAGATGGTGATATTGACGAAACACTTTCAGAAGAAGGTACTAAATTTATTCGTAAACATAAGCTTCAGTTTATTGACGATGGAGATTTTCCATGTATATTACTTTCACCTCCTCTTGATTCTGAAAAATTCAAAAAAGCACTGAAAAATGTAACATATGCAACAAATACGATTAAGAAAGAAGACCATGATATTTACACAAATTATTATTTAAATAAATGCACAGGTGTTGATAAAGTTTTTGATTTATTAGATAAAATATCAAAAGAAACAATTGGTACATATAAAATTTTATGTGATTGTGGTTTCATTGTTGAAGATACCGTTGATGTTTCATATGAAAGAACAGCTCCGAAGGAGGACGAAGTGGAAAGATCTATTCCATTCGTTATTAAGAACATAAAAGATATGAAAACCTATAAACATTATATTTATTCATTCATTTCAGAAAAAATGGAAGCAACACATAAATCATCTCGTCATCATTTCATAGCTATTCACACATTCCTTTTCAAAGTTGTGAAATTAAATAAGACAGGAATTAGATTTAATGTATCAGGGTACGCATTCTTGAGTAAATTAAAATGTATTCGTCACGTCGCAGATGATAAAAATTTATGTGTTCTTAATTCATTTTATGGACTTTAGCCCTGGACTTTAAAAAAATAAACTTTATTTTTATATTCTAATTTTTTATTCTTACATAAATGAACAAAAACGGAACAGCTAAAATGAATGATAATCAAATTAGAGCAGAAGGTAGAAGGTTATTTAAACGCTTCTATAACATTCCTGATGGTGTTAATCCTAAAACTCGTAGAAGTTATTTAAATGAAGCCATAGATGCATATGAAGGATTTGACATTTCATCAGAAAGTGAGAGGTTAGCAAGAATGTTAAACGTTAATATTGATTTCTATTATTGTGACCCTCAACCAGAAGACGTAGACATTAACAAGGTTGACTTTCCATTAGTGGAAACAATAATGATAGATCCAGAATTTGAAACAGTAAATATTTTATTAACACAGAGTCCATGTGGAAAACTTCACGCTGACAGAATAACAGACGTTGAAGCACTCACAGGATATAAAGTTTGCCCATATTGTAAAGAAGAAGTATATTCTATCCGTGATGATCCAGAAAGGAAAAACCAAAGAAGATTTTTAAAACATTGTGAGAAATGTAAAGAAAATAATGGAAGATTAATTCAAGACGTTCAATTGCAAAAGACCCAGCAACCATATGCACCACATATCACGAAACAGAAGATATATCAGTGGTTATTAGCTCACAATTTGCAGAAATATTATAAACCAACAAGATATTATATTACTTTTGACTTCGAAACATTAGAGACTAAAGAAGAACTTCAACTTTCTGAGTGTGCAACTTTGAACGCTTACTTAAAACCATTCATGGTATCATCAACGGTTAAATTAAACGATAAAACATATACGAGGAATTTTTGCTTAACATCAAGTGATTCTTTTATTTCTGATTGGATTGAGTTTTTATTTTCAACCTGTTCATTAGTTGCTAAATCAAATATTGAACAATATGAAGAATTATTGAAGCCACAAACGGACTCTTTAAGTCCTGAAGGTCTTTCAGACCAAACATTAAATGAGAAACAGAAGGGAGCAATGAAAGAGCTTTTAGATGAAGAATTTAATAAAGTGAATATCATTGGTTTTAATTCGGGAAAGTTTGATTTAAATTTAATTCTTCGTGATTTAAATACTGCAAAATGGAAGATAAAATCAATGCTGGGTTCTTCTTCTCAATTTAAGCAAATCATTGTAAAGAAAACAAACTGGCCATATGAATTGAGATTTATTGACATCAGAAATTATATAGCGGGTGGAACATTAGACCAATTTACTCAAGATTTCGGAAACAATAAATCACGTGTTAAATCATTCTTCCCATATCAATTCATCACATGGGAGAATTACGAAGAAGAATTATATAAAAAGGAACCATTCACTCAAGATTCATTTTATTCAGCATTAACACAAGAAACAATATCAGATTCAGATTATCAAATATATCTCAATGATGCTAAAAACTTTAAGAATAGATTAGAATATTTTATTCATTATTGTAATAAAGATGTTGAAATTATGATTGACCCAATTGATAAAATTATTGAAGAAACATTTGTTTATAAAATTGACATGCTCCATAATCTTTCATTATCATCGAATGCATCAATGATTCGTTACGCTTTAGCATATAAAGACTTCAATCCTAACGAAACATATCCAGAAGAAGAAAATGTGGAATCAAGTTTTGAATTAACGAAAAAGTATTGGAAATATAAAATTGAATCATATAAGAAACAAGATGAAAAAGCAGAAAGAGATACTAAAAATAATGTTTTAATGGATGATTTTCAATACTATCACGATTTAATCCTTTCATCTAAATGCTCTTTCATTGCTCCCTTCTGTTTCTCATTTAATGTTTGGTCTGAAAGACCTTCAGGACTTAAAGAGTCCGTTTGCGGCTTCAATAATTCTTCATATTGTTCAATATTTGATTTAGCAACTAATGAACAGGTTGAAAATAAAAACTCAATCCAATCAGAAATAAAAGAATCACTTGATGTTAAGCAAAAATTCCTCGTATATGTTTTATCGTTTAATTTAACCGTTGATGATACCATGAATGGTTTTAAGTAAGCGTTCAAAGTTGCACACTCAGAAAGTTGAAGTTCTTCTTTAGTCTCTAATGTTTCGAAGTCAAAAGTAATATAATATCTTGTTGGTTTATAATATTTCTGCAAATTGTGAGCTAATAACCACTGATATATCTTCTGTTTCGTGATATGTGGTGCATATGGTTGCTGGGTCTTTTGCAATTGAACGTCTTGAATTAATCTTCCATTATTTTCTTTACATTTCTCACAATGTTTTAAAAATCTTCTTTGGTTTTTCCTTTCTGGATCATCACGGATAGAATATACTTCTTCTTTACAATATGGGCAAACTTTATATCCTGTGAGTGCTTCAACGTCTGTTATTCTGTCAGCGTGAAGTTTTCCACATGGACTCTGTGTTAATAAAATATTTACTGTTTCAAATTCTGGATCTATCATTATTGTTTCCACTAATGGAAAGTCAACCTTGTTAATGTCTACGTCTTCTGGTTGAGGGTCACAATAATAGAAATCAATATTAACGTTTAACATTCTTGCTAACCTCTCACTTTCTGATGAAATGTCAAATCCTTCATATGCATCTATGGCTTCATTTAAATAACTTCTACGAGTTTTAGGATTAACACCATCAGGAATGTTATAGAAGCGTTTAAATAACCTTCTACCTTCTGCTCTAATTTGATTATCATTCATTTTAGCTGTTCCGTTTTTGTTCATTTATGTAAGAATAAAAAATTAGAATATAAAAATAAAGTTTATTTTTTTAAAGTCCAGGGCTAAAGTCCATAAAATGAATTAAGAACACATAAATTTTTATCATCTGCGACGTGACGAATACATTTTAATTTACTCAAGAATGCGTACCCTGATACATTAAATCTAATTCCTGTCTTATTTAATTTCACAACTTTGAAAAGGAATGTGTGAATAGCTATGAAATGATGACGAGATGATTTATGTGTTGCTTCCATTTTTTTCTGAAATGAATGAATAAATAAATGTTTATAGGTTTTCATATCTTTTATGTTCTTAATAACGAATGGAATAGATCTTTCCACTTCGTCCTCCTTCGGAGCTGTTCTTTCATATGAAACATCAACGGTATCTTCAACAATGAAACCACAATCACATAAAATTTTATATGTACCAATTGTTTCTTTTGATATTTTATCTAATAAATCAAAAACTTTATCAACACCTGTGCATTTATTTAAATAATAATTTGTGTAAATATCATGGTCTTCTTTCTTAATCGTATTTGTTGCATATGTTACATTTTTCAGTGCTTTTTTGAATTTTTCAGAATCAAGAGGAGGTGAAAGTAATATACATGGAAATCTCCATCGTCAATAAACTGAAGCTTATGTTTACGAATAAATTTAGTACCTTCTTCTGAAAGTGTTTCGTCAATATCACCATCTAATAAATTTTTAGTTGATTCCAAAAAGTAATTTTTATATCTTTCCTCATGTGATTTTTGAACTTCTGATTCTGAAGCTGGGATATTCATTAAACCCTCTACTTCATTCTCATTATATTTTCAACTTCTCTTAATTCCTTAATTTTTTCATTTATTTCATCTCTTATTTTTTTCAGTCTTTCAATTTCAATTTCATCATATTCATCATCTTTAATTCGTTCTTCATAATATTCAGGGAAAACATCAGGTTCTTTAGGTTTTTCTTCTTCAGATGTAGGATATAAGAAATTTATAACATCATCTTTATTCATTTTTCCATCATAATCAAATTCATTTAATAACTCCGCGAATTTTTGACAATTTCTTAAATAATATTTATTAACTTCATAACCTGCCTCCTCTAATATATCCTTTATTTCCTCGTTTGTGAATCCTAATTTTTTAACATCGTTAGTTTTGACACTCATTTTCTTACGAATTAAAAAAATAAATTATTCAAAAATGTAAGACATGAATTTTTAAAGTTTATTTTTTTATTTCATTATGGTAGTGAATCTTTTACTCATGAAAATAATTATTTCTAATTTCTTTTACTCTCTCGTACATACTAGATTTAAAGAATTCAGAACTTTTACCATAATCTCCTAAATGTTTTCTTATCCCTAACGTGTGCCAGTTATTATATGAAACTGTATAAACTTTATCTTTATCTTTACACCTTTCATCACTTCCAATATATTTATATCTCAGTTTTGATTTAGCATTTTCATATTCATTAGCGTTTAATAATTCACAGTCTTCCTTTTTAAATTGATGTTTAAGATATTCAGGATTTAATACTCTACGTTTATATGCTCCTAACTTAGTTCTAAAGGTTTTTCTACAAAATTTAGGAATTCCATCCTCTTTAATGTCATCAATGATTTCCATTTCATTATTTTCAATTTCTTCTTCTCGTTTATGAGGTCTTTGATTATGACTCCATTGATTCCATGAAATTAAATATTCTTTATCATTATATTTATACCTCATTAGCTTATTTTGGCTTTCATATTCATTTAATAATTCACAATCTTCATTTTTAAATTGAAGTTTAACCCATTCAGGATTTAAACAATGTTTAATTAATCGCGGAATATCTGACATCATCTATATATAGCTTCTTTTATAAAAGATAAAAAATAAATTATTTTAAAATTAATGTTAAAAATTAATGTGTTTATAAATAAATATATTTTAATGCATCGTCTATATATAGATGTAACAAAAAAAGTCACATAACCCGCACTCATCTACTACTAAGACAATCAAAGTATATGATCAAGATAATTGACTGAATAACGTTCTTAAAACACTATATCTGCAAATGTAATATTTGAACAAATCAGTAATATTCAAGTTTAATATATTCATCAAAATGTAAAAAATTTTAAGGGTAACAATCAACATTTGGCAATGAAGTAAGATGTAATATATGATTTTATTGTTTTAAAGGAATCAAACACTACCGTGAAACAACGAATATATTCCTAAGATGGGCAGAGATTTGCTATCATACTTATAAAAGTATCAAACAATGAAATGAGAAGAAAAGGTCTGATTAAAAAATTCTTTGGCTGTTTTTTGAAATGTCATCAAGTTTTTGTATTTTAAAGGAAACAAACATTGCAATGTTGACTTTTCATCCATTTGATACATTTGCAGTTCCAAGTGACGAAATCATGAGATTGATTTGCCAATCATGTCCACATTTGAAAAACTTAAGTTTTGCACACTCAGAAGAGATCTCAACTTACTGGGTCATGGAAGTTCTCAAAAGATTGAATTTGGAAAGTTCTTCTGCATTGAGATTGATCGCACCACATATTGGAACACTGAAAATGCTTTGCATTTCGGAGTGCTCTAAACTAACAATTCCTGGTGTTATTAATTTCATTTTAACATCAAAGACACTCAAAGTTCTTAAACTTGAGGAAACAGGAGTTAATTTACCTTCAGGAAACGTCAATCCTGATGTTTTGGCAGGAATTAAAGACCCGTTCCCAATAGCAAAGGAGTCTTCACCAGGAATTCTCTTCCTTCAATAATATATTTTCTAATTTTTTTTGTTTGAATAAACTTATATGTACTACTCTCTCGTTTCAAAATATTTTAAGGAAATCTTTTTATAATAATATCTTTTTTTCATGATTACCAAATTATGAGCACAATTCACATTCCACGGCACCATTTTGTACTAAGAATTCAACAATTTCACTCAAGCATAGTCTTTTTGCAATACTAAGAGGGCTTTCATATATATTAAATGAATCCAATAAAATAATGATAGTTATGAAAAATAAGAGAATTAGATAAATAAATGATAAATATTTGAGGAAAGAGAATTTTAGGAACAAATGATTGATATGAATCTAGAAAGAATGCCTTAAATCTATGATTGATATGAAAATAAAAAGAATTATATAAACCAATAATTGATATGAAAATAAAGAAAATCTGATAAATCAATGATTGACATAAAAAGAAAAAAGAATTAAATCAATCAATAATTGATGTAAAAAGAAAGAAAATGCCTTAAATCAATGAATGACATGGAAATAAGGAGAATGGACTAAACCAATGATTAATATGAAAAGAGGAAGAAGAAGTATCGTGTTGACATCTGCACCATATTGGACTAATAACTTGACGATTTCAATTGAATTATTTCTGATTGCAAGACATAGAGGATTTTCATTACAATTAATTGAATGTAACAAAGTAATGAAAGATATGAAAAAATTTATAATTCTATGAATAAGTGATTGACATTAAAAGAAAAAGAATGTACTATATCAATGAAAAATATTCAAAGAAAGAGAATATTTTTGATAAATGATTGATATGAAAATAGAAAGAATGCCTTAAAGTGATTGTTGATATGTAAATAAGAAGAGAATCGTAAATCAATGATTGATATTTCAATCAAAAGAAAATTTTAAATCAATGATTGATATAAAAATAACGAGAATTCTATAAATAAATGACTAACTTGAAAAGAAATTGAAAATATTTCCTGTTAACATCTACGCCATGTTCAACTAAGAAACGAACAATTTCGATTGATCTAACCTCGATTGCAAAAACAAGGGAAAATTTATAAGCATCATTATAAGTATCATTTGAATTACATAAAACAGAAAATGATATTAAAATTATGATAATGTAATAAATCAATGATTGATATGATACGACATTGAAAAAGTTCCATATTGATATCTGCCCCAAGTTCTACTAAGAGTTTTACAATTTCTATTGATCTTGTTTTGATCGCAATAACAAAAGGACAACTATAATTATAAAGTGATTGAGGTGAAAGTTATGATAATGTATTTAATCAATGATTGATATGAATATTAAAAGAAAATGAATTCCATTTGTTAAAGATAAATATGAAAATAAAGAGGATTTCTTAAATCAATGATTGATGTGAAAGCTAAAAGAAAAAGTATCATGTTGACATCCGCGCCATGTTCGACTAAGAATCTTATAATTTCAGTTGATTCCATTTTGATAGCAATACTTAGAGGACAATCATTGAAGTTAGATGAATTATATAATTTAATGATAGTCATGAAAATAAAGGTAATGATATTAAATAAAGATAAATATTTAAAGAAAGAGAATCTTATAAAACAATGATAAATTTGTAAATAAAGAAAACGTCTTAAATCAATGATTGATATAACAATAAAGAAAATTAAATAAATGAATGATTTATGTATAGAGAAAGAGAATGCATTAAATCGATGATTGATATGAAAAGAAAAAGATTATAATCGTCATTGATATCTGCTCTATTAGATAGTAAAAAAGATGCAACATCAAAATTTCCGAAATACATGCTTTCTGCTAACGAATCAGGGATTTGCCCAAAATTACATTGAAGATATTCAGCAATTTCAAAGTTTCGATAATCAATTGCAGTGTTAATCATTTTATCAAATGAGTGACCATCATCTATTAATCTCATAAAAATGGTTTTATTTCCACCTTGAACTGCATAATCTTCTGAGATAAAAGTATATTTTGCGCCAATATTAATCAAGTAATTGAAACATAACTCTGATCCGTATTTAATTGCACAATCAAGTAGAGTAAAACATTGGCCGAATTTCTCATTAACATCAAGGTTTGGGAATCTACTTTTAATAGCATTGACTTTATCCCAAGCAACGTAGTAAAAAGGAGAGTCCGGCGGATAGATATTGAGAATTTCTTCTTGTGTAAATTTTGGTTTGAAGTTTTCAAATTCGAAACCTTTATAATATAATAGTGCTGCTAATTTCTTATCTTTGGGTTTGATGACTAGCGAAAATTCGTTTAATATCTTTTGATAAAACTCTGCATATAATCCAATTTCTTTAACTCGTATGTTTGCACAAATTTCAATCAAATGGATTGCCATTTTTATAGTTATCTTGTTTGTTTTGATCATATCTATAATTTGTGAAGATATTTGCAAAATTTTATTCGATTCGAGTCCCCAAATAATTTTTGAAGCTTGATTGGGGTACTCAAATATTTCAAGTGGCTTAATATGGCTAAAGTCACATTCACTTTCATTTGTTTGGTGACTTGAGCTTGGCATATTTTAAAAAAACTCGTCACTTTTATAAGTTTCAAAATTTTACGTAATTTTAAGGGTGCACTTACCACTTCCTGACATTCTCTCAATTTTTTGACACACAAGCTTTCTAACCCAATATTCTAAGGTCAAAAGTTAATATTTTTGGTCAGGAGAAAGTAAATATGAATCATTATATAGTACCTAATATGATTGTTATACTTTTTCTGCTATTAAAATAAAGATATATTGATTTTTTCATAGCATGTCAGAAAGTGGTAAGTGCACCCTTAAACTAAATTCGCATACGTTTCATAATAGTACTGTCCATAAATATATAAATTTGAAATAGGAAACATATGAATGATTGAAGGATTCATGGTCCTGCCGAGCGAAGGATTTCGTTAATGTTCAGAATTTATATGATAATCAAAGGCCATAATTTGATATCATATCCATATACTGTTTTTAAAATAATTTTTGAATTTCGTTACCAAGGAAGCTTACAAAAAATAGATTAAAAATAAAGACGATAACGATAATTCTCATTATAGCATTCAATTTTTGAATAGTATTGAAAATATATCGTCAATCATCTCTCATTTTTTAAATTTTTTTTATATCGAGAGCAAAAAGAAATCGTATATGGGCAGTGGATGCAGAGTTACTATTTCATCATTGATTGTAGCAATCCAATCATGTGGTCAACACTTGATTTCGTTGACTTTTCATCCATTTGATACGTTTGCAGTTCCAAGTGACGAAATCATGAGATTGATTTGCCAATCATGTCCACATTTGAAAAACTTAAGTTTTGCACACTCAGAAGAGATCTCAACTTACTGGGTCATGGAAGTTCTCAAAAGATTGAATTTGGAAAGTATAACACTCATGCGATAAAAAAATAATAATGATATACTAATACAAGTATTGCATGGTCTACATGATTATTTTTCAAAGAAAATAAGTCAGTTGTAAGGACTCTCTTTATTCATTGAAGTTAGATATAACTGATTCACTAACAAAAATATATATATGGTAATATAGTATAACAAAGACATTTTGGCATATCTTCATTATTATCAATGAAATATGTTTGCACCCCTAATGTCTTTGGGTTATACTCACCAATTCCAATAGAATATGAATATGATTTGGATTCATAGGGCATAAATCGTTGATTTTGCCAAGAAAAGAAAATCCAAGCTCCAGATTTAATATATGAGTATTCTGAACAATTACTCCAATTTCCAAATCCAGGACAATTATAATAAGAATAAGTATCAACATTTGTAACAAAAGGGAAATCTCGAAGAAGAAATTGAACTGTTTTATTATCATTTATGAATTCAACACCTCGATTTCTTTCAATATTTCTTTGGGGGCATGTATTTCCGTCAGATTTACTTCCTTCAATAGCAATGTCTGAAAAGCAACGAAAATCTACAACATGAAAATTTTTCCCAATGTTTTTAACTGTATGGATGATGTTAATGTAATTGGCATCTGGAAACAACTTGTAGGATACCGAAATGGAAACATCACCATTTGTGACTGTTCCTGACTCGCCAATAATTTCACTATTATTATCAACTCGCAGATATAATTGAATTCCACGATCAAGCCATGATATCTTAAAATTTTTATGACGAACTAGGTAAGTACCCCCAAATAAACCAGTTGTTGGCGAATTTGAATAGATCCAATTATTTTGCATAATATTTTTTGTTTTTAACAATCAGCCACGTATAAGTGGAATAGAGTATTAGATTATTAGAAAACTGAGGAAAATTAAAAGTGACAAAACCATATTTGGTTTAAATGAAAGAATTCCGTATAACATCTTTAATGTATAAACAAGATAATAGAAGGAAATATGTTTTTAACCAAGTCATAGACAAATGTGAAACTTAAACAGTTCCATAATATACAACATTAGTTTTTTTATTATTATTTTTCCCCATTATTATCTTTTAGAATTGAAATGATACAACAAACACTGTGTACTAAAGTTAGGAGACATTATATACTATTTGGGTGCTCAATAATTTGTTATCATGTCGATATATTTAGAAGAATCAAGTCATGAAACAGATTGTCTACATATACTCTTAAGCAGCTCAGTAATTTAAAATCAAATGATATGAATAAGCCTGATACAAAGTCTCTTTGTTTGATTTTTGATTTTATATCATGTTTTTAGATTTATTTAAATAGATCAGAGATTTAAACTCATAAATAGCAATAAATTCGGGGTATTATTATTGTCGTCTGGTGGTTTTAGACTACAATGCGAATTTTCGAATTATAGGATTTTTAGTCAGATAAACATGCCACTACATTATATAATGCGTGTTTGCACACAATATGCTCTGAAGATGTTCAGTACTGAAGCAAAATTGATAATAAGAGATGCTTTTTTAAGAGTGCACTTGCCACTTTCTGAAATGCTCCTATAATATCAATATATTTTTATTGTGATTGCAAAAAAGTATAACAATGATATAAGGTACTAAGTAATGATTTAAAATAACTTCTTCCTGAACAAAGTTAATGACTTTTTACCTTAGAAAAATTGGATAAAATACTAGAATGTCAAAAAATTGAGAGAATGTCAGAAAATGGTAAGTGCACTCTCAATTAATAAATGTTTTTTGAAGAGATCATCATAAAAAAATATTTCAATTTATTTCACTTAAAATCTCACAAAATTAAGTTTCAAACCACTTGGTTGCGTGGAACTTTCTTTGTCACCTTCTTGTAGTACTTCTTTGGCTTATCTGGAGAACCAGGAGCAGCAGCCTCGTTCTTGTCGTATTTGACGACTTTTCTGATCTTCTTGTCCTTGAGCTCTTCCTTGTTGAACTGGTCGGCCTTGATCAGCTTGTGGTGCATTGGCTTCTCTTCTGGTCCCTCTACTGCGACTGGAGTAGAGTCGTAGAGGTGGATGAAGTACTGGATGAGCATTCCTGCGTAGTTTGAGCCAAGAAGACTTTGTCCGTGGTCAACGGTGTAGACGTCTTGAAGACACATGGAGAACTTCTGTGGGTTGTAAGTGATGGCCTTTGCAATGTCTTCAATTGCTCTGGCAAGTGGATCTGCCTTTGGAGCAATCCAATCTACTTCATTATCTGGATGATCGGAAATTGTAATGGCGAACTCAAGGAGAAGTGGGTAAAGCTTCTTGAAAAGACGTTTCTCGAGCTTTTCAAGTGGAGCAAATTCGCCATCGAGATTTCCGAACGAGAAAATGACGTAAAGAAGACGGGCAAGTGGTGGGAAGTATTCTGGATGCTGTACAGTTGGTGCGAATTTCTTGATATCTAAGAGAATGCTGTAAAGGAAGTCTTTAAGGAATATCTCAGAAATAAATTGGTAAATTGAAAGCGTATTGTTGGCGATGAGTGAGAGATATGTACGGAGAATGTTGAATGCTTGACGAATCTGATCTGGAATAAGGTAATATGAGTGGGCAATGAATTTGACAACATTATTAACGAGTTTTTCAACACCTTCTACGTTAACTTCTGGTGTACCGAGACCGCTGATGCCAGTTTCATCAATGAAAGTTGCGAGCTTTGTGATGAAATTCTTAAGATAAGGTGTAGAGTAGTACTTAACGATAAAGAGGATGAGATTCTTAGCATGCGATGGCTTGGAGATGTATTCGTTGAGTGTGCATGTAAGATGTGTTAAATCGTAGAGTAAAACTTGTTCAATTAAGACGTTCATCTTTCCACCATAGTTATAGACATGGGCAAACGACTCGACAACACGTCTGGTAACAGGAGTGTCTGGCTGTGAGATCTGTGGGCTGAGAAGAGCACGTAAAATGTGGGAATCTGCGTTCATTACTGTTGCATAGAGAGCTTGGTAGAACTGATCGGGTGCTGGTGTCTTGAATGATGTCTGGAATTGGATCATTGGTGCTGGTGTCTCAAGAACATGCTCCCAAAGCTGGATTTGAGCTGGATCTTCTGGAATAAACTTCCAGAGAGCTTTGCCTTTATCGTTCATGACTTCAATAGAGATCTGGTCTTTGCCGACTTGGAATTTGTGCGGTTTGACGTTGAAAACCTCTTGTTGGTCATTTCCTTTAAATGTAAAGATGTAAAAGATCTTATTTTGATCGAGAACGGCCCAGAAACCTGGTTTCTTGCCTTTTTTGCAGCGGCAAATGGCAAGATGTGGGTTTGGATTTGGTTTTGTGTAATTGATTGGGAAAATCATTTGTGCGATCCATTGAAGCATCTCCTGTGGTTGCTTAGCCTTGTGGAGTAACTTGATGAGGAAAAGACAGTAAAGATCGGAGCCATTTGCTGGAATTGTTGGTGGCCAGCAGTTAGCAATGAATTTGAAGACTTCTGGGTTAATATTAGCCCTAATGTATTGACCGAAGTCAATAATAGCCTGTGTTGGGTTTCTAACTAAGTCACCTGGAGCAGCCGCATTAAATTCATTGAGAATTTCTTCATAGCTTTCTCTCAATGGCTTGTCGTGGAATGGTGCAGCTGATTCAAATGTTTGTGTCTTTAATGTATCGTAAAATGCAGCTGGATATTTGTTGAATTCGGTAAATGGTTTGTTACGAAGTAAAGCAGTGTACTCAGATGAATTTACTGTTGGTGGTGGTGGTACTTCTTGTTTAATTACTGGTTTAGCATCACCTTTTGGAGCTTCTTTTCCTTTCTTATCTCCCATAAATTAAATTTTTTTTTCGTTGTATGCGTTAACTTTACGTTACATAACATTTTTTTTACACTGATGTAAACAAAATCAAAAAATTTTCTTTCCATTACATGATTAAATAAAGGTACATTCACTAGGCGATAACAGTAAAATGGGATGAAAATAGGATAAATAGCATCCCTATATAGTGCCTAACAATATTTATACGGGCCAAAAAAATTTGGCTAGAGATTTGGCGAGTTAGAAAACTTAGAAAATTGAGAGGGATTTTTATTTTTGAATTTTTTTGGAAAGTTAAAATTGCAATTAAAAATCGATTTCCAGGAGAACTAAGCATCTCATCATATATTTAAATCGATAAAAATATTAAATAATAGTTGAATAGTATAACAACGTGAAATTATGGCTGAATATACAGAAAAAATGAACATATTTGACATTTTTGAAAATTCATACGTTATATGGTGACAAACTCATAAACTATACTTTAGCTAAGATTGATATATGGTTTCAACAACACATGGTTAAAATCGTAAAAATATTTTAGATTTCAAAAAGATATATATGGTAATATAATGGAACAGAGTCAACAAATAGCATGTAAAATATGTTATAATTAACTTTTTATTAGATCTAATAATATATATCGAATGGTTTCCAGCTTTATGGTTAGGCGTCAAAAATTTTCTCACTGGGTTTTCGTCTATCAATCCCAGCTCATTATATACGCAACCAATCAAAAATCTGATATGGGAGTCCAAGGCTAACTTTTTGTTGTCTACCTAATAAAAGAGGAAGCAGCATTAGTGAGAATAATCGCAAATATTCAATTTAAATTATCTTTTTATTCTTAATTTAAAGTGACAAAAAGAATAAAAAACCTATTCTAAGGCATGTTGTTATGTAAATGAGACTAGACATCATATTTTATGTTATGAAAAAAAAATATTTAGAATTTTAGAACAAAATAAATAGAAAAAATAGCATAACTTATGGATGTGCGTATATTAAATTTAATAAATTAAGAGAAATTATTTTTGGCGCCAAAATTATTCGTTAACTCTCAAATTTTTCTGAGTCAATAAGCCGCCAAAAAAGTGTCATTTTGTTTCGTTAGAGAAAGATGAATTGTCCATGTCATCCAATCGGGAACAAGGGGGATGGGGATTAGATGATAAAGAAGCAATTCATGCTCTCTATCTGAAGCAATCAGACTTACCAGCAACAATGTGAATCGATTTGGCTTTAAAGTTAATATAGCAGATCAGCTTGTTACTGGAGAGACTAGGCATTACGATTGATTCGCTGTAGTGCTCTACTTTAATTTAAGAGTAGTAACGGATAACTGAATTCCCAAAATTCTTTAGGTGATCCAAAACACTGTAGCTGCTTGAACTTTGGACGAGCCTCGCACCCCAGAGAATAGAAATCCCAATCTTGCTCATGTTTAGTTGAATTAGTCTGCAGCAGTACAGCTCTGATACCACAAGATCGTGATGTATACAAAGTCACAACGCTATTTGATTCAACAACTAGCTAGTTTTGACATCAAATTGCAAAATTTGACTTCGTTATGAGCTCTTTGTAGCAAAAATACATTACACTTAAAGACTAGTTGCTAGACTGTAGTAGTTTGTTCGTATATATCTATTTTTCCCCAACGTATTGCATACTACATTTTGACAAGACTTGCAACCTTATAGTAACCTCGTTGGGAATTGTTCAAGCAAAGCGTAGGTAGTTAAGGTCGAGTAAGAGTTCTTCTTAAATCTTTCACTGAATGAGTAGGTGTTGGAAGAACTGTTCTCTAAAGCGATACAGTTGCGCTACATGTTCGTCAACTTGTCTAGAAATAAATATATCATTTGTTTTATACGTTTTTTCGTAATAAATCTATTTGTATTTGTTGTATTTGAGTATGAAGATAACAAAAACTACGGCATAAGACGCAGTACACTGGGCTTCGTTGCCATTTTATTTACCATGTTAAGAATAAACTTAACAGACATGCTTTGTTTTCGACGAAGCCATCTAAAATAACGTACATCTAAATAAAACTAAAAAACTGTAAAATTTCTTTATTTGATAGTATACTTCAAATTATGCACTATACCTTCTAGAATTCTATAACACTCTTTGCATATAATTTTTTTAAAAAAAGTTATATCTCGACAAAAATATGATTTATCAATAGAGTATGTAAAATAAAACTCATTCGCAGTATTAAAAAATCGTAAATCTTTCCAAAAAAATTTTGAATTACAAATTTTAAAACTTAAAACAACATTTTTTGAAGCGAAAAAACGAAATCTAATTTTTTTTGGAAAATTTAGAATAAATAGAGCTCTTTAACTCGTCGAATACAAATTGTTTTCAAGTTTTTTTCGACCGGAAATTGAACTTTTAGAGTTTATACAATAAGATTCACATGAAAAAATACGGGTTTAACAAAGAAATCACCAATATAAAGGTTTTTTAGTAGAACGAGATTGATAAAAACTATGGTATGATAAAAAGACGATAATTTTTTTGGCGGGATAATTGAAGAATATGAATGATTCGAATTACAGACATACTCTAGTCCGAAACTTACTATGGTTCGTGACTTATTTTTGACACAGAATAGCTGTAGACTAAGGCTTACTCTAGATCCAGACTTATTATACAATTAAATTTGCTTTTGGAATAAGACTTAATTTTAGTTACAAACTTATCTTAATATCAGACTTATATTTAGAATCAGACTTACTTTAGTCTAGAACTTACATTTAGAATCAGACTTCCATTTCAAGTCAGACTTACTTTCGTCCGAAATTTCCATTTCAAGTCTGTCTTACTTTCGTCCGAGACTTACATTTCAAGTCAGACTTACTTTCGTCAGACTTACATTTCTCAGACTTACTTTCGTCCGAGACTTACATTTCAAGTCATACTTACTTTCGTCAGAGACTTACATTTCAAGTCAGACTTACTTTCGTCCGAGACTTACATTTCAAGTCAGACTTACTTTCGTCCGAGACTTACATTTCGTCAGACTTACATTTCAAGTCATACTTACTTTCGTCCGAGACTTACATTTCAAGTCATACTTACTTTCGTCCGAGACTTACATTTCAAGTCAACTTACTTCGTCCGAGACTTACATTTCAAGTCAGACTTACTTTCGTCCGAGACTTACATTTCAAGTCATACTTACTTTCGTCCGAGACTTACATTTCAAGTCATACTTACTTTCTTCCAAGACTTACATTTCAAGTCATACTTACTTTCGTCCGAGACTTACATTTCAAGTCATACTTACTTTCGTCCAAGACTTACATTTCAAGTCATACTTACTTTCGTCCGAGACTTACATTTCAAGTCATACTTACTTTCGTCCGAGACTTACATTTCAAGTCATACTTACTTTCGTCCGAGACTTACATTTCAAGTCATACTTACTTTCGTCCGAGACTTACATTTCAAGTCATACTTACTTTCGTCCGAGACTTACATTTCAAGTCATACTTACTTTCGTCCGAGACTTACATTTCAAGTCATACTTACTTTCGTCCGAGACTTACATTTCAAGTCATACTTACTTTCGTCCGAGACTTACATTTCAAGTCAGACTTACTTTCGTCCGAGACTTACATTTCAAGTCAGACTTACTTTCGTCCGAGACTTACATTTCAAGTCTGTCTTACTTTCGTCCGAGACTTACATTTCAAGTCAGACTTACTTTCGTCCGAGACTTCCATTTCAAGTCATACTTACTTTCGTCCGAGACTTACATTTCAAGTCATACTTACTTTCGTCCGAGACTTACATTTCAAGTCATACTTACTTTCGTCCGAGACTTACATTTCAAGTCATACTTACTTTCGTCCAAGACTTACATTTCAAGTCATACTTACTTTCGTCCGAGACTTACATTTCAAGTCATACTTACTTTCGTCCGAGACTTACATTTCAAGTCTGTCTTACTTTCTTCCAAGACTTACATTTCAAGTCATACTTACTTTCTTCCAAGACTTACTTTCGTCCGAGACTTACATTTCAAGTCATACTTACTTTCGTCCGAGACTTACATTTCAAGTCATACTTACTTTCGTCCGAGACTTACATTTCAAGTCATACTTACTTTCGTCCGAAACTTCCATTTCAAGTCTGTCTTACTTTCGTCCGAGACTTACATTTCAAGTCAGACATACTTTCTTCCAAGACTTACTTTCGTCCGAGACTTACATTTCAAGTCATACTTACTTTCGTCCGAGACTTACATTTCAAGTCATACTTACTTTCGTCCGAGACTTACATTTCAAGTCATACTTACTTTCGTCCGAGACTTACATTTCAAGTCATACTTACTTTCGTCCGAGACTTACATTTCAAGTCATACTTACTTTCGTCCGAGACTTACATTTCAAGTCAGACTTACTTTCGTCCGAGACTTACATTTCAAGTCTGTCTTACTTTCGTCCGAGACTTACATTTCAAGTCAGACATACTTTCTTCCAAGACTTACTTTCGTCCGAGACTTACATTTCAAGTCATACTTACTTTCGTCCGAGACTTACATTTCAAGTCATACTTACTTTCGTCGAGACTTACATTTCAAGTCATACTTACTTTCGTCCGAGACTTACATTTCAAGTCTGTCTTACTTTCGTCCGAAACTTCCATTTCAAGTCTGTCTTACTTTCGTCCGAGACTTACATTTCAAGTCAGACTTACTTTCTTCCAAGACTTACTTTCGTCCGAGACTTACATTTCAAGTCATACTTACTTTCGTCCGAGACTTACATTTCAAGTCATACTTACTTTCGTCCGAGACTTACATTTCAAGTCATACTTACTTTCGTCCGAGACTTACATTTCAAGTCATACTTACTTTCGTCCGAGACTTACATTTCAAGTCATACTTACTTTCGTCCGAGACTTACATTTCAAGTCAGACTTACTTTCGTCCGAGACTTACATTTCAAGTCAGACTTACTTTCGTCCGAGACTTACATTTCAAGTCATACTTA